TTATCTGGTTTTAGGCCACCAGGTTTCTTGTCAGATTTTCTGACATGGAGAGGAATGTCGCGGACCAATCCTGTGACATAATCACATCTCTTGATTATATTCGCCTGAGAAAGACAGTGCTATACCGTTGCACTCTGGTTGAACTCCACCACGATATCTCTGGTCGTTTTCTTGGCTTTTGTTCAAAGATATGTACACATGATTGGGTTCAGGATCTCCAGTTATTTGAGGCTATTCAAAATTTGTTTGACCCTATGGGCTGCGGGTGTTTCTCCTGGAAACTTCCGCTAAATTATCATGCGTTCACTGCATGCCTCTGTCTCAGACAGCTTATTGGCGGTGTCTAAGATGATTCGGTCTGATAAATTGAGGGTCATTTTACTGGCTTCGAATTGCAGAGAGAGACCCACAAGTAGTGCTTTCACCTCCAACAACTCAGCCTTCAGTTTGGCAACTGTCGTTTTTGGCTTAAGATTGCCTCGATCTGGGATAAGAATATCTCGTTTTGTATCACTGGGGAGGTGTTGATTACCGTATTGTCAAGACGCAAGGGTAAAGTTTCCTCGTCTAGAGATACATCCTGGATTGAGATACTATCGTTATTTTCTGCTATTAGTTTAAGAAAAGTTGTGATATAGCGGTTATATATGAAAAATACGAAAAAGCACTAAGTGAGAGATACAGTAGAGTGCGTAACAGTTTTACGCACGAAGTTTTGACCAATCGAGACAGTAAAAGCCGCGACCGGAGACGTGATACCAAATGTTTCAGAATGAATAGTAGCAAATAAAGCGAAGGGATATTTCGAAAAAGTACACTTTTAGATTCGAAAAACGAATTGTCAATTTCAACTTGGCGCCAACTCACCGCAAGCTCATGTCCAGTGCTTTTGCCTTGCTATGGTCATCTGCCACCACAGTGTTGTTTTCCACAACCAGTGCTCCTATGGCGCCCTCAAGCTGCGTTTTGATTGTACCTGCCTGAAAAACCTTTTCGGTTTCTGCTTGACGAACTTCGCTGACTTTAGTTCATATATATTTTTATACTGCTCTTATAAGACCGACTATCTTTCTGTAACGGCAATCCGAACAACGTATTTGCGACTTACGAAACCGTCGTAGGTCCAAGTTACAGAACGACAAAGACTTTACTTTTGCCCGTCGAACAATCTGATCGGTTCAGGGTTATATATAAACGCCTGTGATTTCCTTACGAAATGTGATTCGTGTCCAGTGGACTAGAGAAAACATATCGAGAGCATTTCCTGAAGAACCGACTTTTGACATGATGGCAGCGGAAAATGATGCGAAATTCCCAATGTCGGAGGGACTGAATAGTCGACTACAGGTCCAAGCGCCGGCGTACCTGTACATGGAGGAGCCGCGATGATTAGCTGATAACTGGAAACTGTGCCGAACACAATATGGAGACTTTTGTACACTGACCTCGATGAATCTCGAATCCAGTCCCGTACAATGGGCTTTGTTCCGTCACACGATTGGTCCGGCAGCTCTGCGTATTATAATTGGATTCTCTTACAGCCCGAATGAAGACCGTGGAGATTGGCAGGTGGTAATGGCAAAGATGGAGCGGTAATGTCTCGGCGAATCCAAAGAGACTTACGAACGATACATTTTCAACCGGAGGAGACAGTAGCGTGGTGAGTCCCTCGACGTATTCGTCCTGTCGCTAAATCACTGGCTCGGTCGTGCAATTTCTGTGCCTGTCTGGAAGAGAGTCTAATAAGGACCTGAATTGTTTCTCGCTGTCACGTTGGAGGACCAGAATCAACCTAATAGAAGCCTTCTAGATACTGAAGGAGTTGTCTGGAATAGAACTAAGTGACCTCCTCGCTCCTGCATCAGGATGGCACTAAAGGTCAAAGCCTTAGGCTTNAGACAGTAGCGTGGTGAGTCCCTCGACGTATTCGTCCTGTCGCTAAATCACTGGCTCGGTCGTGCAATTTCTGTGCCTGTCTGGAAGAGAGTCCAATAAGTCATCGACTGGTCGTTGGCCTACGAAATTCTGCTGTGGTAAAGCGCCTTCTAAAAATTCCAAAGCTGACATTGAAACAATGCATGGACATATATCGGAGTGAAGAGACAGCAGAGAAGCATATGAAGACGCTTACCACAACGGAGGATTATGGATTGTGCAAAATAGCCGCTGAAAATCGAACACATCCAGCAGCTGCTTTCCGTTTCTGTGGCTGCATGCATCTTATGGGAAGAAACAACAGCTCTGCTTGGGGAAAAGCGTGTGATAACTGCAAAAAGCCTAATCATTTTGCAGCAAAGTGTTTTGGGAAGAAAGAATCAACTTGAGAACCTTACGTTTGAGCAGCTGATCGTGTCAATGGTGTACAACCTTCGGCCAAACGGAAAGGCATATTTGCAAAAACGTTGGTGAATGGAGAAGAAGTAAAGTTCCAGCTAGATTCTGGTGCGTCCGTCAGCATAATACCGAGAAATTGCGTACCCGATACCAAATTGGGCCCTACCCAGACGAGATTAGTAATGCGGAACGGTGCAAACGTGTAGCCGAAAGGACAAACCACTATTTCACTGAAGAATCCTAGAAACGGAGCCTCTTCTGTCGTGAGTTTTGTCGTCGTGGAGCCGCGTTATGTTCCAATCCTTGGATAAGAGTCCATCGAGCGACTTGGTTTGGTATCGTTTAACTATGATTCATTTGTTCCTCACGTTTGTAAAGACACTGAAAATTACCTGAAAAAGTATGCCTCTGTGTTCGATGGAAAACTGGGAAAGTTGCAAGGAACTGTGACATTTCACATAAACGACGCAGCCGAGCCCGTTGTTTTACTAGCGCGGCGGATCCCACTAGCTGTTAGAGAGAGATTTTCGCGTGAAGTGAATAACCTTATGACGAAGGGTGTTCTGGAGAAAGTCGGTGAACCAACGAACTGGGCGAGTCAGGCTGTGGTGGTGACGAAAACGTCTGGAGAATTGAGAATATGTATCAGTCCGAAACCAATAAACAAAGTATCGAGATGAGAGCACTTTATCCTACTCATTTTTGACGATATACTGCCGGAATTAGTTAATGCAAGCTACTTCATGAAGGCGGATTTAGCCTCTGCGTTTTGGCACTTAGAGCTGGACGATAGATCAAGCTACTCGACCACTTTTGGCACGCCATTCGTTCAACATCGTTGGAAAAGACTGCCGTTCGGTTTAAAGATATCAAGTGAACTATTTCAGAAACGAATCCTCCAAGCGGTAGATGATTTACCCGGTGAATTTTGCGTGGCGAGCGACATTCCACTTTTCGGTAAAAAATGCAGATGAACACAACAGAGGGTTCCAAGGCTTTTACGGCGTTGTATACGAGACGGAATGAAGCTGTAACAGGACAAGCTAATCTTTTGTCAATCGGAAGTCAGCTTTTACGGTCATGTACTTGCAGGTGAAGGGATCAAACTGGACCCGAAAAAGGTAAAAGCGATTTTAGAAATGCCTCCCCCAACCGATGCAAAAGGCGTATTACGATTCAATGGAATGATAAACTGTCTCAGTAGATTTCTCTCAGAACTAGCGGAGTTGATGCTGCCGACTTGACGTTTGACGCATAAAGGACAACCGTGGTTTTGGACACAAGAACAACAGGCAGCTTTGATCGCGTCAAGCAACTTATTGTAAGAGCCCCAGTGATGGCTTACTTCGATCCCAATGCACCTCTATGCATACGATGTGACAGCAGTCAATTTGGCTTAGGTGCCGTTCTCCTTCAAAATGGCCATCCATTAGATTACCGGAAAAGGACACTAACGGCCTGTGAACAAAGGTCAACCCAGATCGAGAAAGAAATGCTAGTAATTGTGTATGCGCTGAAGAAGTTCAATAACTACACATCTGGTCGACTTACGCATGTATACTCAGATCACAAACCACTGATCATGATTCTAGATAAGCCACTCCACAGAGCACTAAGAAGGTTACAATCGATGCTGATACGTCTACAGAAATTCAATTATGAACTGAATTACGAACGAGTTAAACGCATGTTTTTGGCGGCCACGTTGTCACGGGCCACACTCCCCGGCACAGGACAAGAACAAAAGCTGGATTCCATGAATGTTGCATTGGCAGTGACACAGTTCGAGATGTCTCACATACGAATTGCAACTATTGACGATCCGAGCATGCAAGAACTCAAAGGTGTTATCACTCATGGTTGACCGGAAAGCAAAAAGGCCCTTCCGATGGACGTACTGCCCCTATTTCAAATTCCGAGATGAACTACCTGTGCACGATGAACTGATTTTTCTTGGTGAAAGGTGGTCGTACCAAAGGCGATTCAACAAAACGTTATACGTTTGATACATTGCTCTCACGCCTGATTAGCTTTCCCATGCACTTGCATAGAATACTGGTTAGACTAACCGGTCTGTAGTGCTGTGGGTTAGATCTAGTACCACCTTTGTGTGAAACCACCACAACGGCAGTTTTCCAGTCACCCGGAAGCACGTCCTCCTCCAGATATTTTTGAAACAGCACTCTCAAGGGATCTGCTAAGATTTGGGCAAGTGGTTTTACAATGGCACGGTATATGCCATCGGGCCGGGGAGCCTTATTTATGTCCAACTCCTCTGACACCTTTTGCACTTCCAATGAAAATATCCACATCTCTCTTATGCTCTGTGGAAGAGAGGTCGGGGATCTAGGCTCTAATGTCCGGTTGTCTATCCTATGAACACTAGCGAAATAATTGCCTAGTGCTACTGCCTTGCTGTGATCGTCTGCTGCCATCGTGTGGTTTTCCAGAACCAAGGCACCTATGGCGTCCCTCAAGCTTCTTTTCGATTGAACGAATCTGGAAACCTTTTCGGTTTTTACTTGACGTTTTCCACTAACTCTAGTTCACATTTTCTCTCTTCCACTCTTATAAGACTGACTGTCCTATTTCTCTGGACTGTGTAGTTTGTTCATACCAGCTAGGTTTGACATCTCTGTAGTGTCTCCGGTCTCTGTTTCTTTTCCTCAGTGTTCTCCTTATTTCAGGAGACCACCATGGAGGCTTATTACAACCTCTCCCAAATTTAAGGGGTGCAAACTCATCTTGAAGTTCCTGTAGATTACTTTTGATTCTACGCCGGAGAGCCCATACTGTGATCTGATCACTTTCAGCTTCTCATTCTAGAGTTAAGGCTATTGCTTGCAGGCTACTTGTGTCCATTTTGCTGAAGTTCCTAACTTTGCGACTAGGCGCTTTGGATTCCCTGGAATTGAGGGTCACTTTTATCACTATATGATCATTCTTTTCCACAGGTGAGTGAAACGAGGTCTTCTACGTCCCTTTGGTATTTAGTAAACACCAATTCTAGGAGTGATGGATTTTGTCCAGTCTTGAATCTTGTGTTTTCCTTCACGTGTTGCAGGCGGGTTCTGGAGTGTATCCATCCCAGAAACATTTCCTCTGGTGTACCCTCCGAGCTGGTCTCTGTGGTCTTCTGGATGCCAGGTAGGTTGAAGTCCCCAGCAATTACCAGTTTCTGTTGGAACTGTGCTAGTGCATTCAGTGCCCTGATTAGTTGCTCATCTTTGTCTATTGTGGCTCCCCGATTCCTGTAAATGGCTATGGTGGCGCGGTTTGTCCTGGAAAGCAGTGAAATAGCACACATTAGGAGTGCAGACTTCTATGTCTAATTTCCTGTGGGGAATTTGTTTGCGAATGAGAAGCTCTTCCCCTCCATCTTGCTCAGGATTGATAGATACTTACCTTTAAACTTTTTCAGGGAATACAGACGCTCAACAGTCTTCTAAGGTCTTCTAAAAGGCTATGACGTTCGAGTAACTTACCACATCCTCGGGTATACGATTTCAGTATACCATTACGGGACTTGTAAATAACTTGGCTCAGATGTCAAACCTTACAAGACTACGTTGCAGCTTCAAACTATGCCCCTTAGTGCCACTTGAAGGGATGGATTAGAACATATAATAGAACTTGATTCCGGAGAGACGTTTTAATGATCTTAAAGCCTTCTATGAGGTCCTCCTTGATTCTCTTTCTTGCCAGAGAAAGCAAATTACGGCTCTTGAGCCTCTGCTCGTGGCCCTTACCTTCTTGTTCCACCATCGTCCTTGTCGCGAGGCATTGCACCTTTTCTGGACATTTGATGTCTTTCCAAAAGTAGAGTGCCTATGCCTGAACACAATATGCCAAGTGTAGCTCAACTATGGCCTTGAACAGAGAAGCGAGAACCTCGGGTCTCCTACACGTAATCGTGGAGTGTAGAAGAAAGAGTTCTCTTTAAGCTATGTTGGCTGCCCTCTGACGTTGCTGTGAGGGTTTGAAGTTGTGTGGTATGATGACTCCCGGGTCCTTAACATCTCTCTCTTGTGCTGGATCTCATTTCGAATGTCAAGTTCCACTTCTGCTGTTAGAAGCTAACATCTGGCTAGGTTGAGAGGAAAATATCACTTTTCAGACCACCGTATAACCGCCTGCAGATCCTTATATACATTCACTCCAGCCACCTTGAAGTCGTCCGCGGACATGAAAATCGGGTTGTTCATTTCCCGTGACAGATCATTGACGAACATAAAGAATAGGAGTACACCTAGCACAGAACCTTGAAGGACACCGCTAGTCATGTTTGCCGGCACCGATAAGTGCGTATCAACCTTGACCTGGAAGATGAAGTTAGTAATACAGCAGTTTACCCACATTCTAACTTTCCCCTCAATTCCTTTAATTGCATTTTTTCGTCTAACCTATGATGACCTACAGGATCAAGGGCTTTGCTAAAGTCCAGGTAAAAGACTTTGACATACTATCCCTCGTCTAAGCGTTGTGTGGCTTCATTGAGGGAGGCAAGCAGATTCGATAGGCAATTCGATAAACGTTAGTAGCTCATGCCCTACTACGTACGCGGCCGTGTGCTTACGTAAAATACTTTCTAGGCGTTTGCATAACACCAACGTCAGACTTACTGGTCTGTAGTTTCTGACCATTTGCTTTGACTCACATTTATGCAAACCAACTACCATTGCTCTTTTCCAATCTCCCGGTATCTTGCTATTATCTAGAGATGCCTGACAGCTTTGTCAGAGGCCTATGGAATCATTCCGCTGGAGGTTTACCAATATCGGAACGGATGCCATCCAGTCAATCAGTGCTTTCTAATGTTCCAATCCCATCTCTTGATACCTTTTTAGATTGGAATTAAGCATAGAACCTCTTCTAGTTCTTTTACGCTTCTATTGCAATCCCATGCTCATGGTCGTTGCAACGGCGGTCTGAATGACATTGAATACGAATCGCAATGTCCCCACTTCGACTGACCAAATTTCCAGCACGTAAGAAAACAGTTGAACGACAGTTGAAATTTCGTT